AGGTGAGCTAATATTGCAATCAGACTTACAATTTTCACAGAAAACACACCTTAGGAATGACATGACCTACAACATCTTGTACTCTGCAAATGCACAAAAAAATAACATTCAGATACACTGTTAAAAAAAATGTTGTTGGTTCAACTTAAAGAAATGAAGTAACCTGGTTGCCTTAAAATTTTAAGTTCATTGAATTGGAGAAATTGAGTTAATACAATGACTGATTTAATCATCAGAAACTCAAAAAATTATGTTTTCTGAACCACATTAATTATTTAAGTTGATTTGACAAAAGATTACATTTTACACTGTAAGAGCCCTAACTTTACAAAATGATGTTCTTTGGTGCTATGAAAAAAACTGAAATATATTTTTAATAATTATTCAAACGCATGCTCAACCAAACGGTTGATTTGGCACATAACGGTTAATTGTCAGCCCCCTTTTTGAGAATGGACATTAGCTACAATGCACTATTAAAACTTTGTTCTAATTCAAGAATGCTTTGGAATAAAGACCTAAGTTTAGTTTTATTTAAAAAAAAAAAAAAAAAACACTGCTAATTATTGCTGAAGTAAAAGCTCTTCAAAAAAAAAAGTATGAAAAAGTTATGGAAGTTTTAAATTCACATTAAATCAAATATACTGTACTAAATAGTTTTTCTTTTATATAAAATATATATTTTACAAAATATTTTTTCCTATAAAATTACTATAAAATCAAAGCCATATATCTAACCAAGTTGTGTTCCAAATTTGAAGTTGATATCACAAAAATTTAAGTTCTCATGAGATTTTGTTTAGGCGTAATACCAAAAAATATCACTTCTGCTTCAAAATATGGAACCTTGAGACTCAGACCTTTCTGACAATGTGTTTTGTCAAGACTAGAAAGGGTTTTGATCATAAATTATGATGGGCAATGAAAAAGTATGGCAAAGTATGTGTATGAATTCCTATTATTAAGTGACATCTCAGGCTGATATTTTAAAAATTATGGGATGTGTTGAAAAAAAAATACATTGAGCGTGGTTAGTAGCGACATAAGAAGATAAGAAACGCAAACAAAAAAAATTCCCATCACTTTTTTCTTGGTGCGGACTTCAAAGGGTTAATTCCTTTCTGTGTAAAGCACTTTGAATTGCCATAGTGTATGAAATGTGCTATATAAATAAACTTACCTTGCCTTTATGACCACAGCAAGATAACACACACACACTCAGAAAAAAAGGTACAAAAGCTGTCACTGGGGCTGTACCCTTTCAAAAGATACACTTTTTTACCTAAAGGCTGCATATTGGTACCTTAATGGTAAATATTAGCACCTAAAATGTACATATTAACACCTGAAATGTACTTATTAACACCTAAAATGTACATATTAGTACCTAAAATGTATATTAGCACCTGAAATGTACATACAGTATTAGCACCTAAAATGTACATATTCACACCCTAAATGCACATATTAGTACCTAAAATGGACAAAAAGTTTACCTTTTGAAAAGGTACCGCCACAGTGACAGCTTTTGTACCTTTTTTTCTGAGAGTGCACGTCACAAAGCTCAAATCATCTCAGACTGGTTTCTTGATCATGACAGTGAAACTCAGACGGCCTCGAGACTCCAGATCTCAATCCAATAGAGCAGATTTGGGACGTGAAGGAACGGGAGATTCACATCATGGATGTTCAGCTGTGTGATATAATCATGCCAAAATATTTCCTCCATATTGGCAACATTTGCTCCTCCGAGGATTGTTTCCGGCAGATTTCCTAAAGCAGTTCTGGTCCGACCCGGTATCGCAATGTGTACCTAAAGTGGCCAGTGAGAGTATATCATTTTAATTGTTTCAACTCACTAAATGTCTGCTTCCAATAGAAAATTAATTGAAAATAATAATCTTTCTAAGGATGTTTAGAAGGGTGTCATTTAGTGTTTAGAAAGACCACATCTCTCCACAATATGCATATTTTTTAATATCGTTGTATGAGGCCCCAATTATGTAACATAATGAGGATTTTATGAATATTATAATGGCATTCCCTGCAAAGGGCATGAGTGAACTGGACAGAAAGACAGCAGCGCCAGATCATTACGCAAGCGTCGAGAGAGGCGGTCTGGACTGCGCTTCTGTTATTATAACCCTATTGAGAAGGAAGCTTTTAATCTAAGCAAACGGCCGGTTGCTCCAATATTAAGAGTGCGGCTCTAATGGGCTGGAATTAAATGACACAGACCTGTAGGAGAAGCCGCAGAGTGTGCAGTCTGATCTTTAGTAGTGACTGGAGTCAATGTAGGTAAGTGTAGTCCATTAGAGTCCATTTATCCATCAGTGTTATTTACCATGTAACTGAAGTCCGTGTGTTTCTCTGGGCTGCGTTTGAGCGCATTCATGCAGGGAAGGTTCCTCGAAAGATTTGATCCTGAAAATATGACGAAGAAAAATAAACACCCATATTAGAGTGATTTCTTTTTATTTATTTATTTATTTAACAGTCAAACATACATACAAACAAACCAACATAGTGCAGTAGTGAGCAATCTGGTAAATCCATAATTCCAGCAGTGACAAGAGTGATTTAAGTGTTTGATCTAAGTGTGAATGTGGGTATGTGTATGTGTGTGTATGCGTAAACAAGGTAACCATTTATTATTTATTACCATTGTCATTACAATCACCATCCCACTCCCCGTTAGCACCATACTGCCCATATTGTGTTGGTAGATTTTTATTTCCATCCTTCCTCCTATGTAACAATTGCCATTGTCAATCCTGTATAAAATAAAATATGAGATGATAAGATAATATATCATGGTATATAATTTAAGATAATATAATATAAGATAACCTTCTCCCACATCTCATCAGTCCCTATCTTTTCCTTCTTTTTTTTTTTAATATTAGAGTGATTTCTGAAGGATCATGTGACATTGAAGACTGGAGTAATGATGCTGTAAATTCATACATTATATTTCAAAATATAATGACACAACACACAGATCATCATAGCAATCGCATAGCAACTGGACCCCCGAGCAACTACATAGCAACATATTAAAACATTCAGAAAGCCTTTGCAACCACAGAAATTATTGGTTCAAATAAAATCAAAATGCTCTTTTTCAAAACATAGTAAACTGTCTTGATGTTCACTGCCATATATTAACATTAGTAGTTTCATTGTCTGACAGTTGAGCTACAAGAACAAACTACAGTAGTAACTGATTCGAAATGCAGAAATCATATTTGTACTAATATATTTACAGTATAAACCTTTAAGCATTAGGACTGCTGTTGTCATGGTATTTAAACTTCTATTTTTACTGATTTGTTCCCTTTTTCTTCAATGCAAGCAGTCAGTTTCTGGTGTTCTTGCTATGTTTACCATGGTTAGTCACAACATTGAATATAGCTGCAAGCAGCAATTAAGGGGCCGAGCTCAAAGGCGGCATGATAAATCATGACATCATGTCTGGGAGCATCAGACCAACTGAAATCTGTTTAAACCAGTTTCATAACAATAGGCGAATTTAGTCAAAAGTTGTATTTTTAGAAATTGCATTCTAACTTTTGACCACAAGGTGGCGCTGTCTCGTCTTTTTCGGTAGCTTTAGGGCATGGTGGCAATGACACATACCAATTTTCATAATTATACGCCAAAATGTGTTCATATAATATAGCATTTTACAAACAATTCAAGCCCAAAATGGGGAAAATTGTGTATCGTTCGACTCGGCATATTGCACCAATTTTTTTTTTAACACTTTTGTGATTTTTGGAAAAACTGTTCAGAAGTTGTAAGCAAAATGTTAATTTTTCATCTCTCCTGACCACTAGGTGGCACTGCACCGAAAGTGTGCAGGTACACTCAGGTCATGGTTGTTATCATAGATATCTATATAAAGGCTAGATATCTCGTCCGCGCTGCTGGCCAATGGAGGTCGACGTCTGCACCTGGCGGCCATCTTGTCACAGGCAGCTCGATTTGGTTTGGTTTGTTATAAACGGCAGTGATGGAGTTATGATACTGCATACTTATGAATAATAAGTGTATAAATAAATAACCATCCAGAATTATAGCCACGTTAATAACGTTTGTAAGAAACCAAACCGTTTGTAAATCCGTCAAGATTTCAACGAGATAAGAGTATTTCTTACATCAGGGTCCGTGTACGTTTTGATAGTTTGTTTTTTCGTTTGAAACAAAAAACAAAATAATGAGAAACCACCCTTTTTTCGTTTTTCGTTTCAAACTAAAAACAAAGAAACCGTAAAAAAAAAAGAGCCGTTTTCCCGTTTTTGGTTCTGAATCTTCAAACGGGAAAATGGAAAAAGGAATTTCAAAAAACCAAAATCGGACCGTTATTTGATTTTGTTTATTTGGTTTTTCGTTTTTGGATTCAGAACCAAAAACGGGAAAACGGCTCTTTTTTTTTACGGTTTCTTTGTTTTTGGTTTGAAACGAAAAACGAAAAAAAGGGTGGTTTCTCATTATTTTGTTTTTTGTTTCAAACGAAAAAACAAACTATCAAAACGTACACGGACCCATCAGAAACCACAGAGCCCGCCAGAAAGCCTGTCTGTGACAAGATGGCCGCCGCGGTGATGACGATAAATCCGCCGTGAGACATCTAGCCTTTATATAGCTATCTATGGTTGTTATATCACAACCAATATGCCAAAGCAATGCAGAGACATATTTTAAAAGTTATCCAAATGTAAAAAGTGTTCAGTCCACTTCCTTGAAAATTTAGTAAACTCGTTGCCTTAAAATGATTAAGTAAATAAAACTTAATGCTGAATTGAAAAAATAATTAAGTCATGTGAACTTTCCGACATTACTTAATTTTTTCGATTAAGCCTTAAATTGATTTACTTAATAATTTTAAGGCAATGGGTTTCCTCAAATTTTTAAGTTAAGTCAGCTGATCACTTTTTACAGTGTGGCAACCACTATTTATCAATTTCATTAGCGCACATTAGTGTTTTAGCGTTTACATGACAACCTCTTCCACAGAAATCAATTATGTCCCAGAAGCCTTCAGCGTGACACACACTTCCCACAAACCAGATCTAGAGCAGCTTCCCAGTGGACTTGGCTCACGTGGACGCGTGCGGCGCGTGCCAGGGACCGCCAGTAACGTAATCCAGCCTTCAGTACACACACACACACAGATGGGTGTCAGGGAGCTGGCAGGAACTCACCACATTGTGCTAAATACAATCTGAACACACAAACAGCATGAAAAACACACCGCACAGAGTTTGACCTTTCGACAGCTCCACCTCGAGGCCTGCTGCATGTTCTCCGTCAAGGGTCACACACTCGCGTGTTTGTCTAAACTCTAACAATGTGTGGACGATATCCAGTTCTGAAGTAGGACAGCTTGCCACTTTTCCCATTGAGGCGTCTGTGTGGATTAGCAGGGGCTTATGGGTAGAATTTCAGAGAATATTTTGAACCGAATATGAACGTATAATGCTAATTGTAATGTGGCTCTGTGTTTGTTCACAGCATGCTTTGTGAAATCTGAGCTTTATTGTCGGATGTACTGTACTGTTCAAACCGGCAGATATAGACATCACCCTGACGGGTCCCTCTGTCAATGACACGCTACGGGAGTTCTTGGCCACTAGGGGGCCTCAGAAAACGAATTTTAAGAAGGTTTTCATTTAAATCTTGTACATACATCCATTTCCTAATTTATTCTCTCAACTGTCATTTTTATATAATAATTTTAATGGATATCATTGATACTTAATTTGAGTACGACTATAGATACAATAAAATCTAATATGTGGTGAGAGGATTTATGATAATTTGTGTTTGGTGGTTATGAATGAATCTAGTTTATAATATGCCATGTACTGCAAAATTCTATCTAAAATGTTCTGATGATTCACTTATGGTAGATAAATTATGATATATTTATTGTGTAGATTGAAATTAAATTGAAAATGCTAACAAACAGTGCACCAAAAACTATTAAGAGAAATATTTCCATCCATGTCATGCACTGAAAAAAATAATATGCTTTATCTAATCAATAAAATTGTGGCAACATATTACAAGCAATATTATTAATTAAATTGAACAAATTAGAATTAATTAGAATGTTGATTTGATTAACTATTACTCAATTCTAATTTGTTCAATTTAATAAATAATATTGCTTGTAATCTGTTGCCACAATTTTATTGATTAGATAAAGCATATTAATTTTTACAGTGTGAATTTAATCATTCAATACCATGCATTACATTATGCTTGTTAAGAATGGAGATTTGTTTAATGAACACCGTCTGCCAATCAGCTTCAAGCGTGTGCAGCACATTGACCAATCACAGCACTGACACATTTACAGAAGCAGATGAATGTTAATTACGCTGCAGAGGTCGGATCAAACGTGTGACGTCATAGCGCCACCTATTGGAGCATCTCATGTATCGCAGGATGATGAAAAAACTTAAGTGAACTTTCCATTAATAAAATGCAAATTGTACTTTTAAAGGATGAAACTAATATAAACAATGTTATTTGTTTAAGAAAATTCTTCTTTATTTCTCATCATAGCCTACATACTTTGTATGAACCCTGTATATTTGTAGCTGGAAGGCTAATACTATAAATAAATAAAAGAGAGGAAGCAGTTTATGATGTAAACATGATCTAAATAGCCCACTTTGCTCTGCATTTTCCCATGAGAAGGTCTTACATTATTCATCAGCTATTTTCATTATTATATTATCAGCATGACGGAAGAGCTTGTTAGTCCTGACCACATTAGAAACAAACAAAACGACATTTGAGAGATCTGTGTTTGTGTTATTGAGCCCAGAGCTCTTCTCATCAACAATTACAGACACATCTTTGGCCTACAAATAAACTGGGGGAAAATAGTGCCAGATTTTTGCATATTAGTTATTTATGAGACATTAACTCAATTAAACTTCTAAAAAAAAACCGACAAAAAAAAACATTTCCAACATGCTGCTTAATTATCATAATTATTACAATAGTTATACATTGATTGTTTTGTTCATAAAAGAATTTTCCTTAATGCATAATTTATTTTCAATCTATTAATAATTTATCAATTAAAAATTTGCATATATTATATTAATTTCCAAATACTTATTATTAATTCAAGAATAATAGTATAGTCTAAATTGAATTAATAATATATTTAGGGCTAAAATATATATATATATATATATATATATATAAAAAATATACTATTAATATATTCAAATTAAATATAATTTTACAAAATGTATATGTATATTATATTTAAAATATATAATAATACTATAATATAATATATAAATAATCGTGATTTTAACAGTAAAAGACTGTAAAAACGATACACAACAGAAAGTTTCTGTACTATATAAGTAACTATGATAGATCTCATGGTACTTTTAATGTAATTTTACTGTAAAATAAATAAATAAATACAGAATGCTAAACACCAAAAGCCTCATTCTTCTCAATAATCATTACATTAGCCTAAGCCTATACATAATGTAAGCCTACTGAATTAGCAAAGATCTCTAATGATATAATGACATGACATAGGTATATGACGACTCGATTGGATCACTATGAGTTGACTGGTGGTTTCTAAACGCTTCGCAGTTGCTGCTGCTGTTATTTGCACAGCAATGCTGTGTTGTTTTGTCAGCGGTCGAGTGGTTTTCCTGAGGACTTCAGCGGAATTCCCACCGCAGGAGTTTATTTTAGGACACCGGTGTCGCTCGGGCGGGTTTGGAGACGCTTCGGCCCCGCGGTGACTGACACAGAGCCGGACCTCAACAGCAGCTGCTGTCATCCACATCACTATTGATCAAGAGTTCACAGAGTCACGAGCTTCGCTTTCACATTCCCACACCTTCTGTCTGTCTGACTGTCTGACCGGCGCGCTCGACTCGTGAACACGCAGAGAACAGAGTCTGGAGTCTCCAAAGCGCAGTTCAGGTAAGACGCGCATCTGAAATTATTCATGTGATTATTGTATTTCATCTATGATGGTTTTAAAGGTGTTCTAGGGCGGGTTGGCTTCAAACTGCGGCGGTTAAATCAGAATTTGCTATTTGCGCGCGAAAGTGTTTGGAATCTTATTACGCCGCAAACAAGATCAGCAGTTACACATGAAATTACAAACATCGAAAGATGCGAATGTTTGAATATCAACCTGTTCGAATGTTCATTAACTGTCTTAAGCATCGTGCACTATTGTTTGTTAGTGAAAAGTGCGCAAGAAAATAGTGTATTTAAATAAATGTGTTGCATTCTCAACCTTTTAATGTATTTACTGTTTTAAACTCATGAATTCGATTATTGTAAATTACATAAAATATTTTAGCTTATTATAAATACTATATTGCTTTAGTTCGATTTTACGTTTGATATAATTGATTAAACGCTGTTTGCCAATAAGAAGTGAATGAAAGCGTGCTGATATTTGACAGAGGATATTTGGGCACATGAGTGTTTGGTTTTGAGCTGGGGGTCCTGACAGGAGGAACAGTTAAAGTGTCCTGCTCAGAAATAGCCTCTCGCTGACATGAGCAGCACAGGTGGACTGAAGATCGGCTCAGGTTCTCCACCTCATCATTCAGTACAGAGCTTTACCTGTGTGAAGTTCATTGTTTACATAAAGTCAGTTTGCATCAGGGTTCATTTCTGGGTCAAAAATGCGTCTTCATCCTGACAAAGTTCTTGAAAAACTATTCAGAGAGAGAGAGAGAGAGATTAAAACATGTTTAACAGAAATTGGAACCATTTATATGCATCTAGATTTACAGTAGAAACATTCAGACAATCTGTTTTTATATATATGTAAAAGGCAATTAAATAACAAGCAAACTTATGTCATACAGATGATATATGGACCCTTTTCACAGACTGCGATGATGCATACAATTATTTGTATTGTAAATCCATTTGTTTTGTTTTGTTTAATTAATATTAGCTAATTAAACTGTATATTAATAAAACTGTACTTTGTATATTTTGGATGTTATATTACCTTGGCATCAAAAAAAAAAAAAAACTACACTTGGACTATAGAGTCACGAAGTGATGACGTCACTTTGACAACTCGGAAGCTAGCGGCGCATGGGAAAAGCTATGCATTTTCCCCATAGACTTTTGGAAAATCGCAAAAAAATAAGATATGTGTTTAACAAAGAGTTGTGACCCTTACACGTTTTGTCTATCAAGATAATCTTTACAAGTTAATCCAAAATGTATACATTTTGAAGCCTATAGCTAAAGATTTTAAACAACACAATCAGACACAATTAAGTTTAAAAAAAAAAACCACAAGCAGGTTATAACTGTGTGTTCTGTGTCATAGATCAAAACGTGAAAACATTTAGAGGCTTTGTTCACCACAGACCTTATTTCAGGCGATTTAGCAAAAACCCATTCAAAAATCCCATAGGCTTTAGAGCGAGGGAACCGTAATGCTAAAATGCTAACTCACGTCCGCGTTTTGGTCTACAGAGTGACGTCGTAACTTCGGCACTCTATTTTAAAGATTTTTTTAAGAACTTTTTTGGGCCGGCAAGTTTCAATAACAGAAGCCCAGGAGTGAGATTGACAGAAAATATTTTAACTTGTGTTGCGAAGATGAACAAAAGTCTTACGGGGTTGGAACAACATGAGGGAGAGAGTTTTCATTTTTGGGTGAACTAACCCTTTCAGTCAGTTTAATATAATTCAAGTTGAAATGACTTAAACATCCAAATTGATTGTAAACAAGAATTGCGATTAGAACTGCACTGTAATATTTTTTTTTAGTATACAATGAATGACCCAGGATGAAGCCTGATTCCTCTTCCTAAAAAAGAGCCGAGAGCAGCGCTTCAGGCGCTCAAACGCACCAGTGATCCTGCAGTGAGTTTGACGCTTCATCACAATGCTTCGCTGTAGTCAGTAAAACCAGAAAATGCCTTGTGTGTTTGTCTGTGAAGACGCTTGTTTGTTTATGACACAGTGAAGGTACATTACACACTAATGTGTCTTCAGAGCCTCATCTCTTTTCCCAGAGAGAGCGCTTCTGTCCGGGATAATGGCGATTGATCGCTTCTTTTACCTATTCGTGTCAGCAACGTCTCTCCTGTTGTTCCCTCTTTATGATGGGAACAGAATACTATGCTGAATACTACTTTAAACAGAGTATATTATAGGAGTACACATTATGCAACATGCTGATATCATCATCTTTCATACATTTAACATCCAGATATCATGAAAGAAGTCCATGCAGCTATGTTTGTATAAAAAATGTCTTAAGATTTAGCATTAAGCTTTGAATTAGTAAAATATAATAGGATATTATTTTCAAATTACCGTGCTTTCCACCCTCATATCCCCCGAGATGAGAGATTTATGTATTTTATTTGTCCGGAGGCTAAAGACTACACTCAGTAGTCAGGATTGTCCCGCATGTCCTCAACCCGCCCATAGAGGGCGATCTCACTCACAGAATGAACACATAGTGTCGGCCATCGTTTTTTTGGAAGCTAGGCTAGCAGGCTCTTGTTCTGTGGAGAAAGCTGAGTAGTAACTTTAGGGGTTACCATCCTCTTTTTCCCGGACATGTCCGGCTGTCGATGTCCGGGATTCAGCTTTTGCTTTCTGCAGTCGCCATTCATTGTTTACATGCACAGCTTTTGTTTCAATCGAACTGAATTCATTCCATTGGTGAATCTAAATGTAGTGTTTACATGAACGCTAAACAAGTGATGTGCGTTTTAACATTGCTAAGAAAATTCCCGCCCCTCCGTGAGAGATACGAGACCGGTGCGTCTCACAGGTGTCGCTCATCGGCAATCACGCCACCGGCCTCGCGCCGTTCTCCCGCGGCCCTCACTCGTCCCGCTCGCCACAGGAAACATGATGAATGGCGACTGGAGAACGCAAAAGCCCAATCCACTTATTTAAAATTGGAATTTCTCTGAAATAAAAAATCTTTAGAGACTTTTGGGTGATTTTTGGATATTTTACAAAATTCTTCCATATTGTACCTTTAATTGCAAATTAATTTCTCACGGTTGTGCTTTGTTTAGATAAACACTCTGATTTAAAGTAACTGAATTATACATAGTGAGAAAACGGCACAACACCAAACCAAACGACAGCACAGTGTATCATCTCGAAGAAAAACACAAGACAAGATGAGAGGAGAATAAAATGCTCCCCTGGAGGCTGTTAGATCGTCTGTAAATAAATGATAGTGAAGCTTCATTATATAACAGGATAAAGCGAAGCGTTTATGACACGTGTGCAGCTGAAGTTTGAGTTGTGAGAATAAGTAGCGATATTTAGACTTGTCTTTCACATGTTGCTTTTGCTGGACTAGGATTTTTTTTAAATGGTCACATATTATTCAATTTGTCCGATTTAAGATGTTTTCATCATTAACATTCTTTCATGCTCAGGGAAAATCTCAAAACTAAACCTCAGAGGACACCAAATCCCAGAATGCCACACAACCGCATGTGGATGTTATGAAGGATATCATTACGTGAAATCTGGCCATGCTAAACAGCTCAAGTAATCTCTGATAGACGAGTGCTTGTGCTCACCGTGACTGAAAATAGCACACGTCTCTCGGTGGATAAATGTAACGAGCGCAAACCAATGTCCGGGCAAGAGAAGGCAGATGCATAACTGTAACATTCCCGTCGTCTGTTGCATTACTGCATGTAATATTAACATCCCTGAGGATTATGACTTCACATCTGTGCACTCATCAACAGTCGGATCTCTGATTAGACCAATTTTCAGAAACGGGTTTGTGAGTCATTATCTTTCTAAACAAGAAACATTATTATGATTCAGGGAGTCAGTTCACCCACAAATGAAAATTGGCATCATTTACTCACCTCCATCCACACCTTTCCAAACCTTTCCAAACCTTTCTTTTCTGTGGAACACAAAAGAAGATATTTAGCAGAATGTTCAAGCTTCTCGTATTCATACAGTAAAAGTGAATAGGAAAAATAAAACAACAACTTACCTTAAATGCACCATTTGACTTGTGCATTATATTCACAACTCTGTTTTGTGAGGAACAAACATGAATATTTCATTAAAAACGTAAATATCATAAGAAATGGGGAAAACAGGATTTCCTGTTTTGACTCAACCGCCCCATAAAGATACCAAATGTGACACTTTTGTTGCTTATATTTTATTTTTCTTCCTCTAAAAAAGTACTACTTGTACAAACACATAATGCTTCTTGCCATGGTTATTAGTTAACTAAACCTATAAACTATAATAAACTATATATGAAGAGTTCAGATGCAAAAGCCTCTAAATGACATTGGAAATTTTCTTCTTTAATGATGATTTTTATCAAGCTTGTTTATTTAAGTTCAGTAATTTCACTTAAATGACATTTAATAGGTAATTATCATTGCCATTTAAGTAAAATTCCTGAACTAAAATTTACAAGCTCGATAAAAATGATCATTTTAGAAGAAAATTTCAAATGGCACTTAGAGGCTTTTGCATCTGAACTCTTCATTTATATATATATATATATATATATATATATATATATATACACACACACACATATATAATTTCAGCTAGTTGCCAAAGCTTTACCAAAACATACCTAAAATGAATATGAAAATGAAAAATGCAAAAATAAAAAATAATTTAAAAAATGTATTTCACCTTTCGACCTCAATTTTAACTTAACTTAAAATGTCACAGGCTGTACTGTACCTTAAAGCGATAGTGTTCAAAAATGTCAGATCAATTTATGTAGTAATTACTCTCCATAATGTTGTTCAACCCCGTAAGGCTTTCGTTCATCGGAACGCAAATTATGATATTTTTGATGAAATTTGAGAGCTGGATCACTCCTCCATAGGCTTCTATGTTATTGAAACTTGCCAGCCCAGAAAAGTTAGTCAAGACATCGTTAAAATAGTCCGAGTGACTACAGTGGC